CAAACATGCAGTTCTAGGGAGTTTAAATATTCCCTACCCAAAACCAAAATCACTAAGCTTAAGGAACACATGTGGAATATGGAATCTTATATTACATCTGCTGCTTTAGAAGAATATTTTGGGAACCTTGTGTAATGAGTAAGATTTAAATATTAAATCAGAGAATAAGAAAAGGCAAATACACAATAATTATCGAGTGGTTCAATGAAGGACATTGGTTCATTTAATTATACTTGAATTGGCAGTAGCTGCCTGTAGATTTTCTACAATGTCATAAGTCTTGACCATCAGTCTTTGGAATATCTGTAGCACTAGATGAGACTGAAAGATGTGGGGGGAATGGGAGAGGGAAGAGTGGGGGCTGGATTTAATAATTACTTATCTTTTCACTCAACACTCGATCATATTTATATAATGCTAAATAAACATGACTGCCATATCTGTAGCTGTTCCATGTTTGCTATAGCTTAAGGCCCAGTTCTGCAAACGCTACTAAGCACAGTCCTTAATACGATAACTAGTCCTGCTGACTTCAGTGCAATTACTACTCTCAGATGAAAGGACAATGTTCAGTAGAAAGTATTTGCCAGATTTGGCCCTAAATTGTCACTGTATATCTATTTCTACTGTGTCTTCTGAAAGAACGTACAACATGTCTCTAGGAAGGTTTGGGAGAAAGGAATATCAGAATGTGAATGTAAAGAACAAACACTGAAAACAGAAGTCCACATTCCTCCATAAGAAGGGTACGGTGTACAAATCCCATGAAAGAGATATTAAGACCTATGAAAATGTTGTTACCACAGCAGTCCTGTGATTCTTACCAATTGGAAGGTGGGTGACAGTAGTTGACCATAAAAACCACAGATCATGTGAATTAGCTGAGAAAATTGTTTCCAAAGGTTAAACAGCAAAGGCTGCATTAGTCTGTTTTTTGACTAATATGTATTTTCTCTTTGTGGCAGAGGATCACCAGACAGGGATGGAATTGTAAGTACTGAACTCTTCTTATAAAATTATTTTTAATAGCATTCAGGCTGTCTGTCTAAAAGCATTGTTCTCTGCAAATCAGCGTGAGGAAGACTTACACTTTCTCTCTCTTTCCATTTAATGTAGTAAATACATTAAAAATTCTCTTTACGAGACAGCTGTTTGTTTAAATCAGAGGAATTCAGTCTGGGAAGATTATTTGTCAAAAATAAGCAGCCAGGATAGCTACAGTGCCAAAATCATCTCTGTTGGACATACAGCCACTTTATAAATCCTGTATAAAAATAGTTCAAAGGTAATGTTAAAGAAAATCAAGCATTTGAAAGCTGCTTTTTTATTATGAATGTTTACTTTTTATGGGAAAATGTGGTACAGCATTTTCTGCACAATGGATGTTATTAAGAGAAATGTGATACATGTGACTATTTTCTGTGCAATTTTTATTTTCTATATTAAATTGAAAATAGGAGAGTTGTTACTTTAAAATTATGGCTGCTTTAATTTATGGTTTTAGGAATGAATGTCCCTACTAAAACTGGACTTTAGAGGGGTTTTGATTCCTAAATTTCAAGTTTGCAAAGAAGTATGTTGGGTTCAGACATCAATTTTACTGTAAGTTGTTTTTTTAAAAGAGATTTTGTACTCGGATTTAAAAAGCTCATGCCTAAAATAAAAATCAGGAACATGTTCAGAGGGAAAACTGGTGCAACTGGGAAACTGTTTGTAGTTGCTCTGCATCATACTCAGAGCTCTGGAGTGGAAACTAAACCAGTCATTAAAAATAAAATGTGTCTCCCGTAAAATCACACAAAAATTGGATGGCCTAATTACTGCTTTAAGAGGCACAAGTCTTTTGGCATCTGACCCAAGATCCTTAGCTTCGTGATAACCCTGCACTCATAGAGCCCCTTGTCATTAATTGTTAAGAAATTAAGTTCAGAATACTAAACTTTGGGTAACACTTTAATCAAGGCTCTATTCATCAGAAAGAAAGGAAAAAAATGTAGCTTTCCAGATTACATGAAACTGTGGAATGTACAAATCTGTCTTCCCTAGTCTTCAACCTCTGTTTCTCCTCTTCTGCTCCTTTTCCTTTACTTTTCTTTCTGCCCTTGGACTCTGGCCTCCGTTTTTTTCCCTTTGGCGGCGGCACTCCGGACCCCCCCCTTTTTTTTCTCGCTTGGGGTGGCAAAAAACCTGGATTGGGTCCTGCAAGTGAGTTAGGCAAAGGAATACCTATCTTCCCCTGGTTTGTGCATCACATTGAGAGTATGTGTGCAGAGAGTTCATGTGCAGGTGCAGAGGCAGAAACATAGGCACCTCGTAGGGCTGCCAACTTTCTACCTTGATGCTCTGCCCCTTCCCCTCAGCCCTCCCTCACTCACTCCATCCCCCCTCCCTCCGTCACTCGCTCTCCCCCACCCTCGCTCACTCGCTCATTTTCACTGGGCTGGGGCGGAGGTGGGGGTGCGGGCTCCAGGGTGGGGCTGGGGATGAGGGGTTTGGGGTGTAAGAGGGAGCTCCGGACTGGGGCAGAGGGGTTTGGAGTGTGTGTGGGGGGTGAGGGCTGTGGCTGGGATGCAGGCTCTGGGGTGGGGCCGGGGATGAGGGATATTTGGAGTGTGTGGGGGGGTGCAGGCTCTGGGAGGGAGTTTGGGTGTGGCCGGGGACCCAGGGCTGGGGCAGGGGGGTTGGGGTCTGGGAGGAGGGAATGGTGCGTGCTCTGGGTGGCATTTACCTCAGGCGGCTCCTGGGAAGCAACCAGCATGTCCCTTCAGCTCCTAGTGGGAGAGGTGGCCACAGGGGCTGTGCAGTTCCTGGCCAATGAGAGCTGCAGAGCTGGTGCTTGGGTTAGGGGCAGCATGCATAGCCCCCGTGGTCACCCCCTGAGCAGAAGGGATATATTGCTGCTTCCCGGGAGTTGCACGCATCCAGGTAGGGAGCCTGCCTCCGCGCGCCACCAACCAGACTTTTAAAGGCCTGGTCAGCAGTGCTTACCAGAGCCAACAAGGTCTCTTTTTGACTGAGTGTTTCAGTTGAAAATCAGACATGTGGCAACCCTAGCGCCTAGGGAAATTTTTACTGTGAAAACTTAAGCACCAAGCAAATTTAGGAGGCTGCAGGGTTTGACAGAAGCTGAGTGGGGGTGTCGTGAATCCCAGTGAGACCGGATACTGCAACTTAGACACCTAAAGTGGCAGTTATTCTCATAAGTCCTGTTGTGAATCTAACCCTTGGTGTAACCTCCTTCAGTATTCTGTCTTCACGGTATGGTCTTGAAATCCCAAACTACAGAATCCCAACCATTCTGACTGTATCAGTTGTTGACATGTGCTGATCTTTTTTTATAGAGCAGAAGTTCTCGAGTTGTGGTCCGTGGCCAGATGGTGCTGACATCTCCTTCCCCATTTCCAGCTGCTAACATGCATTAATAGACCGACAAAATGTAGTAAATCCCTTCCTAATATTACCTTTCCATGCAAGCAACTGCTGTAGTTGCCACAGGAGTGAAATGGTGATTGTGAATGGGAGGGAAGGTGGTCTGTGGATCAAGTAGAGCGGAGGTGTCCATGAGACAGTCAAGAAGGGATGTTTATTAAGAAGGAGTACACGTTACGAAAAGTGTGAGAGCTTCTGATACGCTACCTGATTCTTCCTGCCCGTTTTACAGATTCAGGGCCTAATCCTGTGGGATCAGGCCCATTAAGTGCTTGCTGAACCAGGAATAGGATCTGATGCGTCCTTGAGATACAAAATACCATAAAGCTTCTGTAACCCAATATCCACCAAGCCTTTTGTCTGGTGAATAGAGCCCTGGAATGAGTCCCAATGTTTCCTTTACATTTAAAGGAACCAAATTTGGCCAACCTTCTTTTTTAAACTGTATAGTATGTTTGCTAACTCCATGTCATTCTTTGTGTGTTTAAACCCCTCCCAATCCTTTAACACTTTTTCTACAAAAACAAAATCCATTCCAGCTTCCCAGCCCTCATCCTCATGAACCACCCTTCAATAACAAACCAGAGTGTGCACGTGAAGGAGGAAAAAAAATTTCGGTAAGGAAACAGATTTCAGTTTAAAGCTTCCAAAGGGTAATAAAAACAGTGAGTAAAAAAATGTTTTAAAAATTGTTGAACAAATTAGGAAAACTACCTTTCAGACTTCTGATATGTTAGCTATAAATATAAATTTACTACTAAAAATGTAAAGATTAACAACTATGCAGAGCACATTCAAAGCTCAGTTTTTTCTCAGCCTCTAAAATAAGGTACTCAGTTCTGCATTTAGGTGCTTTGATACTACAGTGATGAGCATGATATAAAAACAGAAAGACTTAGGGCTTGTCTACATGAGCAGTTTGCACCAAGTTGGGGTGTGACTCTACCCCACACTGGCCTGCCGTAGACTAACTATCTGCACAGACCCTCTGGACACGTTAATAGTTCATTAATGTGCTTTGATTAGTCCTGTTTCAAAGAGGGTTAGCTCAAAAGGCATTAGAGAACTGTTAATGTGCATCAGCAGGGTCCACACAGACAGCTGGTTTGCAGGAGGCTACATCAGGGTAGCATCACACACCAGCTTGCTGCAAACTAAATGTTCATATAGACAAGCCCCTAGGTGCTTTGTGGCCTGATCCAACTAAAATCAATAGGAGTCTCTCCACTGATTTGAGTGGAGGTTGGATTGGGCCTTTAAATGTGGGTATTTGAGTGCCCTCGTGCTACTGTTAACCCAGTTCCAGTCTGGGTGCTGTCTAATTTAGCTGCCTGAGTTTGAAAACTGGGCCTATATTAAGTATCTAAATTAGAGGATTGTTTAAACATATTTAATGCCTTAAGTGTGGCCTGACATGTTTAGCATGCATAAGTGTGCTTAGTTTGACATCTCTCCGACTGGTAAACAGCTTGTTGATTTGAAAAGAGATTGGTTTGCTGCACGTACAGTACATTTTAACTGTAGACACTTCTTTGGCATTTTTTATTGTGTGGTGAAGAGACAGTTGACTTTGCTTTAAGATGAACCTAACCATAGTGACATCAGAAATGCAGCGCAATTCCTGTCTGAACATTATAGTGGTCTTCATCTGCGCCACTCTGAGGAAAGGTGCATTAGGGTTTCTTTTATAAACTCCTTTGGGTAAATGTTTTATAACTTTGCAATTAAAATTTACATTGAGAGTACAAGTTCTCAAGCGAAGGCCAGAACTCAGCCCAGCTATCAGTTTTTGTTTTTGCTAATTAACAGATATTGACAAGGGAACCATTTTTGCCCTGGGTGGGGTTTGTGGGGTGTGTGTGTGTGGTAAATAATAGCAGAGTTTGACCCTAGATCAATCTGAGCCTCTTTAGACCTCCAGCACACACCTCAGGTGGAAAATTAGTCACTTTTGCTGCACCATTTAGCACCATTTTTGCAATGAATACAGTTTACTGCCTATAAGAAAGCAACATTAGTTTCTGCAGAAACCAATAATACCTGTTGGCATATCATGATTTTTTTCCAGAAAAGACTAAAGCAGTGGATGATGACTAAGCAAGGAGGCTCATTATATAAATGAAACATTACTTTTGACAAGGCTTTCTACATGTACACATGTATATGTAACCCCACAACTACCACTGTTGCAATCTGAAGAAAGCTATGTATACTCAATAAGTGAAGATGTTGTGGATATCTGTCCAATACTTGCTGGTCATGAACCTATAGCACTATAAACGTGCTGAAGTGTCTCAGCACAGCACAATGAATTAATAATTTTGCTTCCCTTCCTCACAGGAGTGTTGTGGATTTCAATTAACGGTTGTTTATAAAGTGCACTGAAACAGACATGTGGAAGATTCTACAGAAATGCAAACCATCATTTATTTGCTGGGCTGTGGATTTTGAATTGCCCTATTCGTTACAAAAAATCAGCCTTTTACATTATTTTAAAAATTTCATCGTTTGTATGAAATAGCTGTTTGTTATATAGGGACATCACAATCAGCTAACTGTACTGACCAGTTTCTTTAGAGGGTTGCTAGTCTGGCCATTCTGTGACCGATTTCAGTAGTTTGCTCCAGATAGACTGTGTGTGATTCTTAGCTCTTGAATTTAAAAATTGTAAAATTATTCTCAAATGTATTACAGAAGAAAAGTAATGGAGCTCCAAATGGATTTTATGCAGAGATTGACTGGGAAAGATATGTAAGTATCTGGATGATCTCCTCCCCCCATTTAATAGATGTCAGTGCTATGTGATGAGGAATTCATATACCTTCATATGCTGCAGGATTATCTCACTCTGGTAGACAACTGTTTTCACTGATCCAAGTGTTTTTGCTTCATATGCAGCATCCTCATCTTCATTTCACTCTCTCCACTTCAGAATGAAGATCACATCCTGGAGTATTCACAACTCCAGCCTGGCTCAAATGTTACCACATATTTCAGACAAAGACTCAGTTTTCCTTTCCACATTATGTGGAAATGACTATTACTAGAGCAAGCGGAGGGGACTGTCACAAGGCAAACTTCCCTCAGAAAATTTTTGCCTGTTGTTATGAGTTACACCTAAGATTACTGGAATTTGGAGTGATTCATGAAAACAATATTATCTCCAGGTTTTTTTTGTTTGATGTGAATTTGACATGTTTCATGTGCAGTTGATTTAACTATAAGTAGTTTTCCCCTGTTGTTCATGTATCCTGCAGCAATAGGGGAGAGAGAAAAACCTGCAATAAAAATAGGAAAATGTAATTGTAAAACCACAAAAATGGATATGAGGGAACTAACCCGTTTTTTCATGCTGAGTGTGCCTCTTTAAGTGATGGAGTGAAACTTACTGTTGAACTACATCACTGTGGAGAAAAAAATGAATTCAGCTATTTTATCACCCTACAAATGTGTAGTTGAAACCTAACCTTATTCTGAAATATATTTTATATCCGGATGTTAATTAGATTGTGTAAAATTATCCAGAGACAGGGTAGCTCAAATTACCCATTAAGTACCAATTACCCTGAGTAATAAGGAAAGGTCTATTTGAGACCGATTATACCATCAATATGGAATATGTCAAAGTTAATTGGGGAAAAAAATACATTTCAATTGAACATTGAGGACGTTTACCTGCAAAGAAATGAACAGTTCAAAACTGTTAAATGCAGCACTAATAACTTCTGTCTTAACTGCCTACAGGTCTGACTCTATAGCCTATTCTACAGGCTCAAAGGCCTGCCAGGTCGAATGCTATTCTGGAATGTATGGGCTCTAGAGTAGAAGTCCTTCCCTAGAACGACTGTGTTTCTATACTATATGGCTTCTTATTTTTGGTGTCTGCCTTCCATTGTTTCCATCCCTCTTCCCAGCACTTTTTACCAGCCTAATTCTGTGGACCATAGTTGCAGTAGTTTCTGCAGCAACCCAACCGAGACTGTTAAAATCTTGTGCAATTCCTACAATCCTGCCTTTCTTTTCTCTCCAAACCCTTACACTTGCCAGGTCAGCTCTGTGCAGTGGACTTGATTGGCACTGCCAGAGTTAACAGCAATATCATTTACCTTGGCATGGTAGGGTAGTTTATAGATATTAGCAAGCGCAGCTCCAGCCATGTTAAGCCGCCTATAAACAAAGCCTTCCCTTCAGCTTGTAGTATTTTTTTCTAATTTTGGGTAAAGCTCACTTAATCAGCCCAATGTTGCCTTTGACATATCCTCCCGACAGAAGAAATAGCTTAAGCTGCTCTTTAATAAAATGTTTAACAAGAACTTAATTACTTTGTTTTGTTTATACCCCACCCAGAATTCACCTGAGCTTGATGAAGAGGGATACAGCATCAGACCAGAAGAACCAGGCTATATCCTTTATTGTTAGCCTTACATCTTGGTTTGCAAACTGTAATATGATCATGGGTTCATGGAGTGGTCACTGAAATTTTTCTGTACACTATTATTCCTCAGCTAAAAGTGAAGCCCAGTGGAAAATCACCTGATACAGTTAACTAGAAGGCACTTCTAATTGCCTTGTTTTATTCATAAGAAATTAACAGAAAGGAGTAAGTGGATAGGAAGTGCACTGGGAAATAATTACGTTAAGTGCATGCCACTAAAACAGATCTGATTATAATGCTTACAGTGAATAGAAGCAGATTTCTAGCCCTTTTCTCTGGGTTGGCAGAAACTAGAAGGATTGCAGAAGCAGTGTGTTCATTCATTGGAGGAAAGAAGCAGTTTACATCTCTCTGCAGAACGCCTTTGGCCTTGTAAGAGAGAATTAAAACTAGAGGAGCTGAGCAAATGTTACATTTATGAGTCTTGAAAAGTAAGAATCATCATCTAATGGTCAGAACCCAGATCTCTAGATTCTCAAGCCTATTTTCAGCTCTGCCATAGATTCACTTGGGCAAGTCACCTAACTATTCTTTAGTTTCTCCACCTATAAAATGGGGGTGCTACTACTTTCCTTCTCAACGAAGTAGTGACACTAGTGAGTGTTTATAAATCATGCTGTGATTCTCTGATGGAAGTTAATATAGACATGTGCAAAGTATTGTATTTAGTCTCCAGCTTGTTTATGCTGATCTAATAGCTGTTTAATTGTTGACACTCTTCCTTTCATCCATTTAAATGGACGTAAGCAGGAGCAAGAGGAGACATGTTGTTTTTCTAAAAGCAAATCTAAGCACAAATGAATTTCCCTTTTGAAAATCACCATTCATTTACATTGACGTGTAAGAGGCTGTGAAAACGTAGATACATATTTTATTTAAAATACATGTGTCTAGAGTGTGATAGGCACCCTAGAAAACCCTTAAGATAGCTATACATTTTATTTACCAGGTACAGAGGAGTCATAACATTTTAGATATTCTCAAAATGTAGAACAATATATACACACTGGCCCATCTCCTCCACTGTGACGCACAAAGCACAGGTATGAGGTGTGCATATGAAGGAGACTTAAAGCTCTCATGTGCTCTCCCTTCATCCTCCTCCTGCTGGCCAGGACCTCTGCATTTTGTTTGAACAGGCTGAAGAATTCTCTCTTATCCCAGGATACAACACACAGCTGAGGATTGGCACAGTGAAGGGATATTGTGGCTATATCCCCTTTCCTCCAACCATATCCATGTTGCAGGGAAAGTTAGTGGCATAAGATTTGGTGCTACTACACCCTTTACACGGGGGGTGATCTCCCTTACTGGCTTTGCTCACTTTACAGGTAGTCTGTGTCAATGGTGCGATACAAAGCAGCCACACTGCATACAAGAATCTGGCCTGTGCCGTGAGCTGCCTTTAGTAAGTAGACCGTGGGAAAATAGCTGCATAACTTCCTCCTCTGCTGCCACTGAAACTTCCTGGTTACGTATTAATGTACAGAGTATAAACTGGTACAGTGCTGACTGGTGGGAAAAGACGACTCGTAAATGAATGCTATCCCACAGTGCAGTTTTACCTACTTTTATGAGCTGTCAGCAATTTACATCCGTGTGTGTGTGTGTATGTATTATATACAAATATGACAAAATGGAATACTGGTGACAGAATTGGCAAAAATGTGTATCCTTTGTTACCCATTCTTGCTGGTGTACAGTTGGAGTAAAATTTTCAAAAACATCTAAATCCCATTTTCCAAAGTGACTTAGGACCCTAAATCTTATTGGAAAATCAGAGGGATTTAGGCTTCTTAAGCACCTATGTCACTTTAAAGCATGGGCCTAAGGCACTTTTTGAAAACTTGATTTTAGGAGTTTGAAAAGATGGGGATGGGGGTACTCTTTTGCCTCCACTCTGTATGAAAAGCCTACCTCTTAGCAGAACAAAAAATTCTTTAACTGTGATCTACCTACCAAAGGAAAGCACTTTTATTCCTCAAGCGAATCAGAAGAAGAAGAAGAGTCACACAAGAAATTTAACATTAAGATTAAGCCTTTGCAGGCTAAAGACATTCTTAAGAGTGCAGCAACTGTAGATGAATTGAAAGCATCAATAGGCAACATCGCACTTTCTCCATCTCCAGTGGTGAGTGCCTTGTGTTTTAATCTTTTACAGAGTTGGGAGAACAATAACATCCTATCCTGGTTAACTGTATTAGTAGTCAGCAAATCTGTTAATTGAGCGTCAAACTGATTCATAGTTAAATACAATTTTTTTTGCACTTTGTCTAGTTTAGACACTATTTCTTAGTTTAGTCACCCAGCAGCCACGAATAGCTCTGGGAGATTGTGTCATGCTTTTTAATAGATATTTTTAGTTCAGAATGTGCTAAAATATTATAAAGTTTCCTGAATGTGTTAAAATACTATGAAGAATCTTCTTATAACAACTTCTCTATGTACTCTTTTATTTTAGTGAGTTTCACACATCTCCAAATGACCAAAACCCAACATGTATACTTTTTTCTTATTTTCTTATTTAAAAAAATTAGTCTTTGCTATTACAGTAGAATCTGGACAATCCAAACTCCAGTTATCTGAAACTCCCCATTATCCAAAACAGGGTCATGTTCCCCTCATATCTGTTAATTGCGTGGAAATTTCCCTCCGATGTCAAAACTTATTAGTGCCTGATACTGCCAATCTTACATTGGGCAGTAGCGTACGAGTCATCTTATTGAAATCAATGGAATGGATAATTCATGTAAAAAATTACTTCTCAACATGGGTAAGGGTGGGAAAATTGGGCCCTCAGTATCTCTCATGACACTTGAGTAATTGAGATTGTACTGTAATAGCAATAAGACAATAAGGCAAAACTCCACTGAAGTTGTTGGTGCTACAAAATGTAAAAATGGCAAAAGTAAGATCGGAATTAAGCCTCGTGTATTTCCCTGCTTTTACCTTCCTTCTTTCATCCTCACGTTTTAATTTTAATTTTTGTTTCATTTTCTGCAGTACATAAAAATCCATCAGAACTACCTCTTGTTTTGATCTGTTACTTTCCAGATCACAATCACACCTATGCATCTTTGTAATAATACTGATACACAATGTTACATGTGCATTCCTTAATGAAGAAATAAATCTAGATTTCTAAAAGGAAGAACCATAGTTCATTAAATCCTTCCTCTTTTTCATTCCATTAGCATGTATCTTTTTCAAAGCTTACCAAGATCTCTGACTTGCTATCCCAATCTATTCAGCTGTGCAAAGCTCTGTGATTTCTCTCCATAGGTAAAGCTTAAATGTTTTTGAAGTTGCATGGATTTGCAAGTCTGGCATCTTGCTTTGAGTTTGCGATGAGAATACACCCCAAAACTCAAAGGGAAAATGAACCAAAACTGCAGTCTTCCCCACCCTCCTTATTCTAGGCCAGTGCAACATCACTAAGTTTTGTGAGTGTCTAACACCATTTATCCTTCCCTGAAGTGGGGAGTTTTAGATCTGGGATGAAACCCAAACTCTGGTGATAACCTATCTGTGTGGTTTCTCTATGGAAGTTTTACTCTGATAATTGGCCCATTTAGTGATTTTTTTTTTAAATGCTTTCTCCTCATTGTGACCAGGGTGCTTCCTGGAGTTTCACATTCAAAGCCCAGAACCTGTATTAAAGTTTCTAGGATCATGCAACATCATCTAAACCAAATCTGTGTGTGATTCTCTTTGCCACATCACAGCCACAGTAGTCCAATGTGCATATGTCTGTGTGTATCTGTATAGGCAAGGGTATCATTTTGTGGGGAGAGGACAAATACTGGAAAATTTAAAAATAGAGAAAGCACTAAAAATATACCAAAGGGTTTTTACTGTCAGGTGCAGAGATAGGGGCAAAAAGATCTAATAGGTTTCTTCAATGTCTGATTTCTGCTTCTGGGATTAAAATATTTATCCTCATTTTAAGCAGCAGAAACTCCAGTACTGCTATTCTTCACAAGTAGCAGCTGCTCTATGTAGAATTTGAAATCTATAAATTGGAGCAGTTAGCCCACAATGCAGCCCCCATTCTGAGGTCCATCACCCTCGCTAATAACTCATATCTCCATAATTCATGATTGTCAGATGTGTGGTACTAACTCATCAGGTAATTCTGTACTTTGGTCATCTAATTGCCCTAAAGCTTATGAATTTGGGGTTGATCTCATCTGAAGAATATTAAAGACCACGAAATATGTTTGCAGGCAAATGAAGATACATTAAGAGAGCATCAAAATTTGGTCGGTTCTTGGCAATCACATTTTTCTTAGCTGTTACCCTGCTTTAATAATTTTGAAAGAAAACTCACGTGAAGCAACATGAAAGGAATTAGGCTCATGTGGCCACTTGCTCTCTTGTGCCTTGTGTTCCTGAAATTGAAATAAGAAAAACACAACTTAAATCCCACAGAACTGCACACACTACTAAATACATTGCCAGGTCAAAGCCTATTTTCACTTACAAATTAAATGAAAGTATCTGTTTCCTTGTTTCTGTGATGCTTTTTCCACTGAATGGGAGTTTTGCCTTTGACTGATATGGAGCAGGATTTAGTCCCTTTGCAAACAAATTCATGTTTGTTAATTTGCTGCTGCATGAAGCTCTTCCCTTTTGCATGCAAACGTGTCAGAGTTTGGTTTGTGGCTAGTCTTTGTTCTAGCGAGCTGACTTGTACAGTTATGAAATCGTAAAGATGCTGCAGCTGGCCTGGAGGCAGGACAGCAGCGTATTCTGTTGCTGTGTGCGGAAGCTAGGTTCAAGAGTCAATTTGGGACTCTCATTTCCTGGGCTGTGGGAGCTGTGGGGACTGTAAATCGTGCAGAATGATGGCTTTATTGTTCTGTGGAGCATGCGGCTTCCTGATCCACTGACACTGCCTGGAAGAAGTTAGACTTGAGGCTAGTTGCTGCGATGCCGATCATAGAAGGGAAATATGTGAATTAGAAAGAAACATTAGGCAGAGATGAAATGGGGGAGAGAGATTCTAAGAGCCTGATCCACAGCTACGGTAAATCAGCATAGCTCTATTCAGTTCAATGGAGTTACACTAGTTCACATCAGCTGGAGGACCTGACCCTAAAATATTAACATTAAATTTAACTGGATTATATGTGGTCTGTCTGAAATGAGGAATCACTCATGGAGTTATGTAAGATGAAGGCATAGATCCAGATTCATGGACACTCCCAAAATACATGCAGCAGAAGTCAAGGGGCAGTGTGCACAGCTGGCATAAAGCACTCCTTTGTGCTGCTCTGATTCTGGTGGTATTTTTAGCAGCTAACACCATATGTTGTGTTAAACTAGCCTGAGGGCTGGTCTTGCGTACATTGGCCTATAAGAACCATGAAGGGCTGAATACTTAGGCCAGGACTGGATAGCAGATATGTGTTCTAACTATGTCCCCCTTTCCTCATACACGAAAAAGGAAGGCATGTGTCATGTAAACCCTACGTTGGATGTAGCCCACTGCAGGATCAACCCTGTACACTGGTGATCTTCCCTGGCTCACTTACTCAATTTCTGCAATCTTAGAACAGTGACAACTTGGCACAAAGCAGACACAGTGCCCCGGGCATCTGGCCGATATAACTGAAGCCAACGTCACCAGCACTGAAGCAATGATCCTCACGCACCAAATTTGCTGGGGGGGACATTGTGTGCGGATGCCAGACTCTCGCCTTCCAAAACAAGCCCTCTATTCTCAACTCACCCATGGTCAGAGATCCTGTGATGATCAGAGGACATGCTACAAAGACACAGTGAAAGTGTATCTCAAGAAAACTGATGGACATCACAAGATGGGAGGAGCAAGCCACCAACCAACCTCAATGGCACCGCATCCTCCATCAGGCAGTGGCCCGCTTCAAGGAGAAGTGCCTTGCCCTCCAAGCTGAAAAGAGAGAGAGAAGAGGAAGGAAAAAGAAAGCACTTTCTCCCAGCAGGCAGCTGACTCGCCAGGAAATGTCTGTACCTACTGCAGGTGGATCTGTGGTTCCAGGATCCTGAGTCATCTCTAAACCCATATGTGAATCTCGAATTGAGAGATTGCTGATGATGATGACCTGGGGATCTGGTCCATATACTAGAGCCCCTTTCTGGTTCAATAATTAGGTACGCTTCCTTGAAAATGTAGCTTTATTTACGAGATAATATTAACACAAGCGTAGATGCTGCCGCACCCCCTGGCTTGAAGTGGTTTCAATCATATACAGAGTTTACAGTTTGGTTCAATAGCTCTCAGCACCCCCACAAACACAAATTTGTTTCAGCAACCCTGAATGCAAGTGCATGTCCACAAAGTGAAAGGATTTTAGCCTGCATTCAACCAAACTATCTTCCTTTTAATCTCCTGCTACAACTTGTCTGCCTCACTCCCATGGGCAAACACAGTATTGAATTCTGTCAATGCAATTCAGGGAAAAGAACACTGTCAAGTTAAAAATGCATGTATTTTAAAAGTTGCCTTAACGAGGTTGGTTTGTTTTTTAATAGTTAACTTAGAGGTGTGTGGCCTAGTGGATTGAATGCTGGAGTGAGATTTATGAGAGCTGGGTTCTATTCCTGACTCTCCTACTAGCCTGTGGGTGACCTTGTGTCTCAGTTTCTCTATCTGTAAAATGAAAATGATACTGATTTCCTTTCTAAAGTGCTTTAAGATCCACTGATGAAAAGCATTATAGAAGTGCTAGGAGGTATTATTTTCAGAACTGAAGGAAACTGAACTGAACCTGTAGCACTGCATCCTTGTACAAATGGATAAAACCCTTTTAGTGACTAAACAAAAGTAAACTTACTAGTCTATCTTCCTTGTCATAGAACAATAGGGTTAGAAGGGAAGGCAAGGGTCAATCCTCCAGACAAGATGCAAGATTTTGTGTCTAAACCATCCAAGACAGATGGCTACCCAACCTTCCTCCTCTTGGAGTGAAGCAGCTTCTACAACTTCCCTAGACAGGATGCAGGTAAATATCATGGTGACAGGATGTTGGGGTGATATTTACTGTCAGGACAATATTTACCTGCATCCTGTCCCTTTTAGCATTTGGAGCTCTGCTGAAATGATCTAAGGAGGTACAGTGGGAAAGCAGGAAGTGGGCCCAGGAGGGTCTGAAAGAATAATTAGACTTGTCTAGAAGCATAAATATAATCTATAGAAATAAAAAGAACTGTGCAGTCACTAGGGAAGGAAGCTGGAAAGTGACTTGCCACATTTTTCATAACAAAAAATAAAACTGCAGCTACTCAAGTAGTTCTAAGCTGTTAAATATGTTGCTTTGAGGTGAGAATCACAGATTTTAACAGTGGGATGTTGTCCTGTCAAAGTCAACTGTATCCTTACAGAGATGCCAGACAAAACCTTCCTTGGCTGACCCTAGCAGAGATGAAACCTCTGCAGTTATTTGGTGAGAGAACAGCTGAGAGCCTCCTGCTAAGTTTTAATCACTCTGTTTTGTCAGACTACCAGAGGAACAGTTCTATTTGAATATATGATCGCTCAATTCTGTTTTGTTAGAATCTCTCAGTACATAAATAAGGTCAGATAGATGCTTCTTTCTAGCTTGCTTGAATACACCTATTCTTTCCTGTTTGGAAGTAGTTTAATTTATGTTTCTTTACTTGTTGGGATAGTTCATGATGATGATGCAACCTGACGACATCAGATACTATATCCAGAGTTTTACATCCCCAGCCTCCTTCCATTTTTTTTTTTTACCTGCAATCCCTGCCATGTTGCCTGCTATTTGTACCATGGAAAATCCAGCCCCAAGTAGTAAGGGTTTTTTAGTGGTCTTAAGCAATGTTTATTTATGCTAAAATGAGTATATTTTATAGTACAAGCTAATAAGTTAGGTCCTGACCTAAATTTATGCATGCATGCTTGAAAAAGATAGAATCACGATTCAATATTTCAACAACCAAATAAAAGTGGTTTGATTTTTCAGAAGTGTTGTGCTCTCACAGATTTTATAGACGACCTTGGGATGTGAAGGCATTCCCCACCTCTGAAAATCGTGTCACTTTTATTTAGGTGCCATGGCCTTTTGTCCATATGTAGAGGAATAATTACCTGAATAAATCACTTTTTTTTCCTGAACCTAACATCCTGGTAGGAAAACCAGAGCTAGTCGGGGTGACCCAATAAGCTATCATACACGTTTACAGGAATAGTATTAACTTTTTGAAACTGTCAAAATCATTAGAAAACTTTTGAAATCATTATTTTCATTGCATTGGACTCTTCGGATCTTTGTAAATGAACCAGCTTTGCTAGAGAGAACTTGTTAATAAGCCCAACGTGCACCCATGTGTTCTGAATAAAAGAGAAATTCACCATTCACTGTAAAAGTTAACTTCTTGATTTACAAATTAAAACTCAACCATATGCAGTATTTCTTCTATTTCTTGCACAACTGACCTCTGAACTTCAAGGTGATAGATCACCCTATTTGGTGCAGTAATATAACCACCCATTAAAACCTAACAGTGCTGGTTGCCTTTGCTAGAGTGGCCACCAATCAGATACAGCCAGGCTGGAAGACAATACCTCATTTAGAGAGATGAGGTTTTTTCCAAGTGTAATTATGTTTCATAGCTGCTGCAGCAGCCATCATCATGGCAGCATATACAGCGGTTTCAGTTGTTTCCAGTAAAGATTTACCGTATTTATGACATATAAATAAATGTGTCTTTTATGAGAGGTTGTTTACTCATTTGGGGGAACTTAGAGTGCATTCTCTGAGTTCCTCCATGGAGTGGCCATACAGATAAGTTTCTCATGGGTCAGTAACTGGTTGACAGACAAGAAATAAAGGGTAGGAATAAATGGTCATTTTTCAGAATGGAGAGAGGTAAATAGTGGTGTCCCCCAGCGATCTGTACTGGGACCAGTGCTGTTCAACATCTTCATAAATGATCTGGAAAAACGGGTACGCAGTGAGGTGGCAACATTTGCAGATGATACATAATTACTCAGGTTAGTTTAAGTCCAAAGCAGTCTGCGAGGAGTTACAAAGGGATCTCTCAAAACTGGGTGATTGGGCAACAAAATGGCAAATGAAATTCAGTGTTAAGTGATCTAAATTAGCTGTACCATTCAAGAAAAAGATCTTGGAAGAATAAGTTCATGGAGGATAGGTCCACCAATTGCTATTAGTCAAGATGGTCAGGGATGCAACCCCATGCTCTGTGTGTCCTTAGCCTCTGACTGCCAGAATCTGAGAGTGGACAACTGGAGATGGCACTAATTGCCATGTACTGTTTGTTTGCCTCTGAAGCACCTGGCATTGGCAACTGTCGGAAGACAGGATACTGAGCTAGATGGACCATTGTTCTCAAGTTTGTGAGCAGCATCATTTAAATCTCTTTCTAACTAGCATAGCAGCTGAAGCTCACTATGGGACAGGAAGACTGCTGAAAAAGTTGAAAAAGTGTATTTAAAAATGGAAGAGCTTCTGATGAAACAGATGCAATTGCGGTCCCCTCCCTTGAGTCATGCGGGGCTCTATTTCTCCATCCCCTGCCTAAAATGCTAGAGTGCTGAGTCTTAGGTGCTATGTTTTTTTAGAAGCCTGCAACTTCTTGAGATCGGATTCTTTCATCATTCTTGCATTTGTCAAAGCTTGTAGAGTATGGCACTTTATTTTCCTGTCGTATAAACCCTTTTAAGAATTTAAACTTTTAATTGAAAATTAGCTTTGAGTGTAGTTTGAAATAGCCAGCTATGTCAGTAGCATGTAATCATTTCTGTAAATGGTTTAAATAAAAGTGCTGTGTTGTTG